ATTACTTTAAATTGTTAAGTTGGTATTTTTTTTGGTTGTTTTCAAAATAATATCCTCACCTTTTATTCACATGCAACCTACCCATCTGCGCTACCACAGTTTTATACTTAACCTTACACAATACTAACATACAAAACCTGTTTAATTTTTATTTATTAATGCTTTTTAATTAAAAAATTTCTTTCATTTTTTCTTCTTCTAAATACAGTAAAACTCAAACATCCCTACTGCAAATCCTTTTAAACTGTAAAAGGCTAAACAATAGCAAGATAAAAATATTGAAGCTAATTAGTATGATATACCATTATTATAAACCTATTTAGATGTATATTAAAACAAGTCAACCCACAAGATAGGTAGTCAAATTGATGGTAGGAGAATAATTCCCACATTCCACTACAACAGCCAAGTTCCACAACGTGATAAATATCACCAATTATTGATTAGTCATATAAAAAATAAATGAATGAGTTAACGGAGGTAGAGATGGTCTTCTAAAACATGCCACCAAACTCATGGTAGACTATACAACGTAAGATGGCAATTGGTGATGCACGTGCAACTCACCTACCCATTTCCAAAACCACACTTGCATACCTATAAAACGATAACTACTCCCACACTTTCGAACACACAACTTCAGCAACCGAAGCGAACACCATCATCATCAACATCATTAGTTCTATCAAAGAAACAAAGATGGTGAGTGTGTCCGAAATCCGCCAGGCTCAAAGGGCAGAAGGCCCTGCAACCATCCTTGCCATTGGAACTGCAACCCCACCAAACTGCGTTGATCAGAGCACCTATCCCGACTACTACTTCAGAATCACAAACAGCGAGCACATGACCGATCTCAAGGAGAAGTTCCAGCGCATGTGTAAGTTGCTTAATCAATATATTTCACTTTCACATGATTGTTATGTTTGTTGTTGAATAAACCTAATTAATTATTGTTTTTATGTTTCAGGCGACAAGTCGATGATCAAGAAGAGATACATGCACGTGACGGAGGAGATCCTGAAGGAGAATCCGAACATGAGTGCTTACATGGCACCTTCTTTGGATGCGAGGCAAGACATAGTGGTGGTAGAGGTACCAAAGCTAGGGAAAGAGGCTGCAGTGAAGGCCATAAAGGAGTGGGGCCAGCCAAAGTCCAAGATTACACATTTGATCTTTTGCACTACCAGTGGCGTCGACATGCCTGGTGCTGATTACCAGCTCACCAAACTCTTGGGACTTCGCCCCTATGTGAAAAGGTACATGATGTACCAACAGGGGTGCTTTGCAGGAGGCACGGTTCTTCGATTGGCCAAGGATTTGGCGGAGAACAACAAGGGTGCTCGTGTGCTTGTCGTGTGTTCTGAGATAACCGCAGTTACGTTCCGTGGCCCAAGTGACACTCACCTAGACAGCNTTATGCTCACAACATTTTGAGGATTTTCTATGTTACTTGAGTAACCATCATTATCCACCCCCATCGAGTTATGTTTGGGTTTTGTGTTGTTCTTTTCCACTAACTATTAACAGCCAACCTCCCATCCACTCCATGCATTGTGAAACACCATTAATGCGAACCCTGGAAACAAACAACTGAGTGTCCTATGCTCCTCTTCAAACATTGTGGACCTACACCAAAACAACACCCACACTTGTGTTGCACCTTTAACTTTCATTGCCTCCAATGATCAGTGCCTCTACTACTCTATAGTGTTGCAAGGAAACATATTACACTAGTTCTTTAAGATAATGAAGGTAAAATGTGGCACATATACATGTTGAGACTTTGGCAAGTGTACCAAATCGTTTCAAGTAATAAACCAATAAGACTGGATATTGTTTCCCAAGAGACTCGTGTCACCAAACAATTGTATAAGTTTAAACTAACTTAGACTAAAGGATGATTCCATGTTTTTGGGTTTTTCATGCAATTAAAGTAAATATAATGCAAGAATGGTAAAAGTTGAACTTTGGAAACTCAAACACTTAGGAGTGGAAAGATTAGAAATGATATGAAATGGTATTGTTGGGGGATGATTTCACCTACTTCACTCTTATGCATGGAAAATCACTTCCTTTTCATTAATTAGCCAATGTCAATCTTCTAATTTACTCAAACCCAATCCCTTGGTAGAGAGAGCCTAGACTTACTTCTTAAACTTCAGTCCCTTGGAAAACCTAACAAGTTCATCCGCTTTAAGAATTGAGATTCAAGACAACCAAAGGTCCTAGCTCTATTCCTAGATATAATTTCCTTTAGGTGTTTAATCCAGTTCTAGATTCACCCAATATTTCCCAATATCAAGCAAACCCTAAATTCATGTTATGGTTGAATTAATCATATAAGCTTTAAGTAAAGGAGTTAAACACTAACAATCAATGAAAGAGACATATAATCATTCAAAACAACTATAATTTACATAAGAGATCCGTGGTTACATCAATCCCCAACAAGAATGAAATTAGCTCTCCATTGTCATGGAGAGCTTAAGCTTACAAATGGTGAAATGGAAGAAGGAGGAAGACCCAAGGATGAAGAATGGTTGTTCCCACAACTCCTAACTCGCCTCCAAGAGCTCCAATTGAGAGAAATTGTGTATGGGGTGCCAAAGATGTCGAAGCCCTTTTATTTTAGGGTTAAATAAACCCAATCTGCCAATTCAGCAGCAATCGCGCTTGAGTTCGCGCTTCAGCACGACAGTTAGCAAAATGGCGCTCCAACGGCCATATGCATGGGGCGCCCCAGCACGGTCCAGTCTTGGTGCACTAGCGCTTCAGTGCCCATGGAAATAGGGCGCTCGAGCTAACTTTAGCAGAATTCTGGTTCTTCATATTTTTGTTGTTTTTCCTGTTTTCCTTGGTTCCAGCACCTTCATTTGATGGAAAGACTTCTTCCAACTAATTTAAGTGTGTAAATAAAGGGGCTAATGATCAATTTATCTAATTAAAGCTTAAGATGAAACCACTTATTAAACTAAAAAAAAACCAGGATTTACAAGGCAAAAAGGATAAGAAAGAGTCGATATTTTCTCTAATTCAATACTAAAATCATGGTAAAATATGCCACTATCAATACATCAATGGCTATTTCAGGTTTATAACCGATGTCAATACCAATATTAAACATTAATCTTAATGTGGATTGTGTATGAATTAACTAACCACAATGAGAGAATATGCTAAATACAATTTAGTATGTGAGAGATATAAGAATCTCCCTACGGGTATTTGATATCTTCCTATGTTAATTGGAATATGATATTCTTCAATATATAACTAAAACACACCTTCAATTGGAGAATTTGTTGGGTTGCATATTGTGATACAATTTCTTCAATAAATAACGAAAACTTTTGTTGAGAGAGAAAAATACCATATTTTTATCGTTACACCTCAATTCCAAGAATGTACTTCAAAGGTTCAAGATTCTTCATCTTGAATTCCTTTGTCAAATACTCTTTCAATGTCTTACGTTCATATTGATCATTTATCGTAAGCATCATGTCATCAACGTTGACAAAAGGAATTGTAATATTTCCTTCCTTTTTCTTTAGAAATAAGGTATGATTTAGTTGCTCTATTGATATCCAAAAGCAATCATTGACTTGGTGAATCTACCAAATCATGTTAGTGACAATTGCTTTAGTCTATACAATGATTTCTTAAACTTATTTTCCTTCTTGCTATGTATATGTGGGATCTCACATCCATTTGGTGGTTACATGTAAAGATCTTCAGACAATTCCTTATGTATGAAGGTATCTTTCACGTCAATTTGTCTTTAAAG